GCCCGAAGGGCAACTGGCTGATCCCTGTCATAGTCCCTAGGTCGAACTATTAGACGTTTTCCATCCTAAACTCTGCCCAGCAGCAAAATGGATGCCCCATGAAAGAGTGAGCCTCCCCCCAGCTCTGCAAAGAGCACCCACTCATGTCCTCTCTCAGTTGAGTTTTCAGCCGGCCATCTTCTTTTCATTATCAGCATAGAGATGATACATCAGAACCCAAAGGATTACAGGACTAGGGGTCATCATTCCAGCCAGTCAAGTGTTCAACATTCTGGGCATGTGGACTCACACCATGGCACACAAGTTTGGTAGACTGACTTATTTCCTTTGGGGCTGAACCAACTGGTGTGTGCCAACTGGTGGCTGACGTCATCGCCTCCTAGGGAACAGTTAGAGAGCAAGAGAGGTGTTCCTCCTGTCCTCCCTCTGTTCTCAACCCCCAGGGCACACTCCCTCTACCCCCAGGTGTGGTCCAGGCTCATGGATAGCATAATGGGTGGACACAGTGGCTCATGCCTGTAATCCCAGCACTGGGAAGCCAAGATGGGAGGATTGCTTGAGGCCAGGAGTTGAAGACCAGCCTGGACAGCATAGTGAGATCTCATCTCTACAAAAATAAAAATAAAAAATCAGCCAGGCATGGTGGCACACTATCTGTAGTCCTAGCTACTCAGGAGGCTGAGGTGGAAGGATGGCCTAAGCCCAGGAGGTTGCATTGAGCGATGATCATGCCACTACACTCCAGTCTGGGCAGCTGAGTGAGACTTTGACTCAGGGGAAAAAAAGCCAGGCACCATAGCTCATGCCTGTAATCCCAGCACTTTGAGAGGCCAAGGCAAGAGGATTACCTGAGCCCAGGGATTCAAGACCAACTTGGGCAACTTGGCCAGACCTTGTCTCTATAATAAATCAAAAAATTAACTAGGCATAGTGTGCACCTATAGTTTCAACTACTCAGAAGGCTGAGGCGGAAGGATCGCTGGAGCCCAGCAGGTAGAGGCTGCGATGGCCAGAACGTGCCACTGCACTCCAGCCTGGGCAACAGAGTGAAACTCTGACTCAAAAAAAAAAAAATTAGTTTTTCATTGTTCATTTGTACCTCTTCTACAAAGCTAAATCGCGGATCTCTTGAGCATGGGGATATGCCTTATAATTAGCATTCCTTCACCACATTTGGCACAGAGGAAGAAGCAGACTAGACTTGGGATGAAATCCCAGCTCCCCACATACTAGTTCCATGACCTTAGATAAGCTCCTTCATCTCCCTATTCTTCAGTGTCCTTAGAACAGAGGCAATCACACCTGCCTTGCAGGGTGTCATAGGAGCCGCCAGCCAGGTGCTGGGTCCTAGGAGATGCTTGGCAAGTGGTGACTCTGGCTTACCAGACAGAGCCTCGCACACAGAAACTGAACATTTTGCAGAATTATGTATGACAAAGCGGGACTAAAACCAAGGTGGAAGCAAAGCTAGTTATGCGCTCTTGAACTTTCATGGTGAAGACACCATTTCCTCTGCCCTTGGGCTTACATGGCCGGTTACAAACTAATTTGTTTGTTTTTTTAATTCATGACTCTTTCATGATCACATGATGATCATTTCACGCTCAGCGTATCTCCTGAGCCTAAGGGGTCAGTGACCTGAGGAGTGTCATTGATTTGCAATATGGAGACTTTGCTCATCGGCTTCCTTGGTCCAATTCATACATTTAAGCATCATCTCATCCCTGAGTGGGGATGCTTCCTCCAGCTCCTCGCAGTCATGTGGCAGACGGTGACTCCCAGTACTGCTTCCTGATCTAAAGATCCCCGTGGGTGTCCCTGGCTTCTTTAGAAATTTTCTTTAAAAGAGGCCGCGGTGGCGTGCCTTGGGGGGTGGTAGTGGTAAGGCTTACTGAGGCCAACTGCATCAAAATAAAAATGTTGATAAGGTAAGGGTATAAGGACTATGGGAAAATATAATAGCATTGAGGCCAGGCATCGTGGCTCATGCCTTATATAGTCTCAGCACTTTGGGAGACCAAGACGAGAAGATCGCTTGAGGCTAGGAGTTTGAGACCAGCCTGGGAAACATAGACTTCGTTTATACAAAATCAAAAAACTTAGCCAGGTGTGGAGACACACTCTTCGTAATCCCAGGGAGGCTGAGGCAGAAGGATCGCCTGAGCCCAGACTACAGTGAACCATGATCACATTACTGCACGCCAGCCTGGGCGACAGGGTAAGACCCCAACTCAAAAAAAAATGCACTGAGATCAGTTTCCCACATTTCCCATACAGTGAGCACATTTGCCGAAACCCAAGATACGTCTTATCCACTCACTTAGCAACTGGAAAATTACAGAGACTCATTGACTGGATTGTTATAGAGGTTCAACTCTGCCGTGATTCTGCGATTTCTTTCTTTACAGTAGAGCCGTGTGGCCCTGAAGGAATAGGTCATGTGACATTTTTGTCACCTTCTTCAGTTACCTATGAATACATACTACCTTGCTTTTTTACTCCCTTGTAAAGGTTCCTGTGAGAAAAGCACATAAATCATATGTAGTAGGCACTACATTTGCTGAGTCTATTGCCATGTCAGCATAGCAGGACATGCAAGTGTAGGTCACATGAGATCCTTTATAACAATGGTACTATGGGACAGGACAGATAAGGACTCGTGCCTGCCTGCCCTTGGTCAGTTGACTGCTGGTTGGTTGGTTTACACGATGCCTCGCTGCAAAAGTAACTTGAGAGAACACTCTCCAAACAGACTGTGTTGTACACGGGGTAGTATGTTTAGGGTCTCAGTCAGACTCATGACATATTTGGTAGCATCTGAGCTTTTATCAGGTGTTTACTATGTTAGATCAGGTGCAGGGCTATGAAAAAAAAACAAAGCCATCCCTGATCTGAAGGAGCTTGCTGGCTTAAGTTAGAAACAGACACAAGTAAGTATAAGAAAAAGGGGCCTGACCAGGCACGGTGACTCATGCCTGTAATCCCAGCACTTTGGGAGGCTGAGGCAAGAGGATTGCCTGAGCCTTTGGGTTTGAGACCAGCCTGGGCAACTTGGCGAGACCTCGTCTCTACAATAAATCAAAAATTAGCTGTGCATGGTGACACACACCGGTAGTTCCAGCTACTTGGTAGACTGAGGCAGAAGGATGGCCTGAGCCCAGCAGGTTGAGACTGCGGTGGCCGTGAACACTCCAGCCTGAGCAACAGAGTGGGACTCGGACTCAAAAAAAAGAAAGAAAAAGGAGACAGCAATGATTACCCATGTAGAACTATTATGTGGGGCTAGCAGTCATGGTTTTTGTTTGCTTCCAAGTATTTCCAGACTCATTATCTGACAGACATTTTTTTAAATTTGAAATTTGATTTAAGTGCTTAAAAATTATTAATTAAGGCCAGACATGATGGCTCACACCTGTAATTCTAGCACTTTGGGAGGCCGAGGTCAGAGGATTGCTTAAGCACAAGAATTTGAGACCAGCCTGGGTAACATAGAGAGACTTCATCTCTAGAAAAAAAAAAATTCATTAAAATCCCATTCAGTGACATGTCTAAGACATTTCTCTTACTGGAAAGAATGCAGTGCTACAAAAGCAGTGCTACCCTGGAGAGTCAGGACGTTTCCTCATCTGGCTGTGGGAGCCGAGAGGACAGTGTCATTCGTTCTCTTTCTGAGAGGACTGAAGAGGCCTCTCCAGGGAGTTCATGTCCGAGTTGAATCTCGAACCACAGATAGAGGTCCTTGCCAGAATGCTGGCTCTGCGCACAGCGCACAGAAGTCAGCTGCAGAGCTTGCCAGCTTGTCCTGTGCCCTTTATGCCCCCGGCTGAGATTTTTGATCGCTGCCACCACAGCTTCCAGCAAGGACCACAGGACTGCTGCTTTTATTTGAATTCGCACACACGACTCGTAGACCTGCCTCGCCTTCCTGTGGGGTCAGCCGCGCGTGTAAGGATGCGAGGCTTTACGTGCTGAGCAAGGAAGCCTTCCCTGAACACCAGCAAGCTTAGTCCATTTCCATCTGAAAAAAAACAATCAGCCGAAGGCGATAAAGTCTTAATTGCCTAAGTCATGGTGTGTGGCCAGGACGGGCGTGCATGTGCGTGTGCGTTTGTGAGTGTGTGCAAGCTGTGCATGCATAGCACATTTTCAATCTGTGTGAAATAGAATGGATATGCAGCAAATGACAGTAGGCTTAGGCCCTGAAGATTTCCCAGGAAAGAAGGCAGCTGCGTGGCAAAGCTGCTGCCACTAATTAGGGACGGAAGAGCCCGTGTCCTGTGCCACTCAGCAGCTTCAACCATTCTCGTGACAGCCAGATTGGCTCTGTAACCCCCGTTCATTATAGGCTGGGAGTTAATTTCTTGTGGAGAACATTGCTTTTGATTGCCATCACCTTGGGATGCTTTATAAGATCAGGTGGGCTATGATGCCAAATGTCCCAAGTAGAAGCCATAATGGGCGAGCAAAACAGGCGTCGCTTTTCATGTCCCTTTTGACGTTGCACACGAGCAAACACTATTTTTGCAACCCCACGGACTTTGGGTTTGTGGCAGGGCCACAATGCCATTTTGGTGATTGACAAGAAAACAATTGTGCCTCCTTTGGCTCGTGCGAGCAGCAAGCAGTACCCCCTCGTGCAGAATGTCTCTCCACCAGGACCGATCGGGAGGGGCGTTAATAGGCTTCCCATTGTCATCGTGCATTTTTGCCAGGAGATTCCATTAGCGTAAACACTGAACCCGTTGTCATCGTGTTCAGCCGCTTGACCCTGGCGATTTTCAGTGCTGCCTGTGCTGTGATGGAACGCGGCAGCGGCACGCACGAGACAGGCACTAATTATTGGAAGCAGAATCATTGCTGACCCAGGACAAGATTAACTGCTCCTTTGCAGTCTTTATTCTGGGACATCAGCGCTGTCTGGTTATCTCACGTCAGTTGAGGGACTCGGGACAATAGCGGCGCTGACGGTAACGTTGGCAATTTCCCTGTTTGTTTTGCAGGTCACGGCCAGGGGCTTTGGGCCGCTGCTGCAGTTCGCCTACACCGCCAAGCTGTTGCTCAGCAGAGAGAACATCCGTGAGGTCATCCGCTGCGCCGAGTTCCTGCGCATGCACAACCTGGAGGATTCCTGCTTCAGCTTCCTGCAGACCCAGCTTCTGAACAGCGACGATGGCCTGTTTGTGTGCCGCAAGGATGCTGCGTGCCAGCGCCCGCACGAGGACCGAGACAACTCCGCGGGAGAGGAGGAGGAGGACGACGAGGAGACGATGGAGTCGGAGACAGCCAAGATGGCTTGCCCCGGGGACCAGATGCTTCCAGAACCCATCAGCTTTGAGGCCGCCGCCATCCCGGTGACCGAGAAGGAAGAAGCCCTGCTGCCCGAGCCCGACGTGCCCACGGACGCCAAGCAGAGCTCAGAGAAGGACGCGCGGACGCAGTACCCCAGATACAAGAAATACCAGCTTGCATGTACCAAGAATGTCTACAATGCGTCATCACACAGCACCTCAGGTTTTGCAAGCACCTTCAGCGAAGAGAACTCGGGCAGCAGCCTCAAGCCAGGACTGGCCATGGGGCAGATTAAAAGCGAGCCTCCCAGCGAAGAGAACGAGGAAGAGAGCATCTCGCTCTGCCTGTCTGGAGAGGAGCCTGACGCCAAGGACAGAGGGGCAGACGTAGAGATGGACCGGAAACAGCCCAGCCCCGCCCCTGCCCCCGCCGCCCCGGCCGGGGCCGTCTGCCTGGACAGGTCCAGAAGCGTGTCCTCGCCCTCCTGCTTAAGGTCCCTGTTCAGCATCACAAAAAGTGTGGAGTTGCCTGGCCTGCCCAGCACCTCTCAGCCGCACTTTGCCAGGAGTCCGGCGTGCCCTTCGGACAAGGGGATCACTCAGGGTGACCTTAAAACTGACTATGCCCCTTTCGCAGGGAATTACGGACAGCCCCACGTGGGCCAGAGGGACGTGTCCAGCTTCGCCATGGGGTCGCCCCTCAGGGGGCCTGGGCTGGAAACGGTGTGTAAACAGGAGGGCGAGCTGGACCGGAGGAGTGTGATCTTCTCCTCCAGTGCTTGTGACCAGGGGGGCGCCTCGGTGCACGCGTACTCCGGGGTGAGCAGTTTGGACAAAGACCTCTCAGAACCGGCACCAAAGGGTCTGTGGGTGGGCGCCGGCCCGTCCCTGCCCAGCTCCCAGGCCTATTCCCACAGTGGGCTGATGGCTGACCACCTGCCAGGAAGGATGCGGCCCAACACCAGCTGCCCGGTGCCAATCAAAGTCTGCCCTCGCTCGCCGCCCTTGGAGACCAGGACGAGGACTTCCAGCTCTTGCTCTTCCTACTCCTACGCAGAGGACGGGAGCGGAGGCTCACCCTGCAGCCTCCCTCTCTGTGAGTTCTCTTCCTCGCCCTGTTCCCAGGGAGCCCGATTCCTGGCCACGGAGCATCAGGACCCAGGCCTGATGGGAGATGGAATGTACAGCCAAGTCCGGCCCCAAATTAAATGTGAGCAGTCGTACGGCACCAACTCCAGCGACGAATCCGGATCGTTCTCGGAAGCAGACAGTGAGTCGTGTCCTGTACAGGACAGGGGCCAGGAGGTAGGGAACCCACGTCAATTCAAGCATGTGACCCGCGCTCTCAGTCCTTTATCTGGACTTTTCCCCACCCCTCTCCCCCCCCCAGCTTGTTGGGACGTGCGTAGATTAGAGGTGACACCAGGGACTGCCTCCCCATCCGCAAAGGCAGGACGCGGCTGCAAGGTGATTCCGCACTGACCACTTTGTCCTAGAAGGACTTGATGTTGGAGCTGGATTTCCATCGCAGCCGGCTGCTTATTCCAGATGAGTTTCGGTGTGGTGCGTGACAGTGCGCTTGGGCACTTCAGATCTCTCCCCCCTCCTCCCCATCTCCTCTCCCTTCCATCTGCCCCAAAAGGATGCCCAGTTCATCGCTCTTACCCTTGACCTTCATTCCTTCCGTTCAAAGGAAAGTGTAGAATCTCTTTCAAAACCGACTGGAAAGATGGAAGAAGCTAAATAGATCAACACAAAACACGTGCCTCCCAGCACCTTTTAAATGTTCCTTGTTAGCAGAAGACCCCCGGGGCCATCCCACGCCGTTGTAGGTGACGGAATGCCCCTCATCCACCCTGGTCCCAGGGTCATTGCAGAAGCACCCTAGTCAACCACACGTAATGTATCATAGATTTTCTCCCAAGTTCCCACAAAGGATAGGAAGTCATTTTGAGAAGTAGTGGGGTCAAGTAGCCGTTTGGTCCACCCTGAAAGCAAAGCACTTCGTAGAAAAAAATGTCCAGAGGGGCAACCCTCTTTCGGGTCCCCTCTTGCTGCCAAGAGCTTCCTATCGTCTAATAAACTCAGAGTTGCTCACTCAAAAAAAAAAAAAAGTCCATAGGCTCCACTTGTGTCTTCCTACTGCTGGGAGCGGGGAGCAGGGTCAACACCAGCCACGTCATAAGCAAGACTCACGTGACTAAGGAGGGGGGAAAAAAGGAGCCCCTGTAGGTCCCCACTTCCCCAGAAACATGAGCGTTCCCTGGAAAAACCAGGCTGGGCGTGGCTGGGTGCCCGTAATATCAGCACTTGGGAGGCTACGGCAGGAGGATTGATTGAGCCCAGGAATTCAAGACTAGCCTAGGCAACAAAGCAAGACCTCGTCTCTACAAAAAGTAAAGAAAATCAAAAAATAAGCCAGGCATGGTGGCACGTGCCTGTCGTCCCAGCTACTTGAGAGGCTGAGGCGGAAGGATTGCCTGAGCCCAGAGGCCGAGACTGCAGTAAGCCGTGACCATGCCACTGAGCTCCAGCCTCGGTGACAGAGTGAGACCCTGACTCAAAAACAAAAAAAAAAATGGATCTGTGTCATGACCTGACATTCACTGTAGTCTTACAGACTGACAAGGAGCCAGCCTGAGACTGCAGCCTGGCTCTCAGCTCTGCCTCAAGAGCAGTAGCGAGCGAACCCAGTGACAGGGTCCTCCTCAGAGCTGGGTATCTCAAAACACAGGAAGAAGTGAGGCATAGGCCTCACGAGACCAGCACCCTTGGCACCTGTCTGTGCTGCCTGGATGGTAGCCTCTGTAAGGCAGAGATGTTAACCCAACCAGACAGCAGAAATGCCACACGGGGTGAGGTGGCTTTTCACAGAGCCACGTGCAGCTTATTCAGCCTCCGCAAGATTGTCGAGAAACACAGGAGGTTTTAGTTTGGGCGTGTTTTGAAAATAGATTCCAGAGCTCCCCATGCCAACTGCAAAAATGCCCTGTGGTCACTGCCCCTTCTCTGCAGGCTCTCCTAACTGCCTGGCAGAAATGGAGAAAGACGGAAAAACACTGAAGGGATTTCATTTAACTAAACAGAATTGTAAAGGAAATTTAGATGGGAAGTGTTCCCACTGGAACATACCATAGCCCCTCAGGTTTGGGAAGGAAGGTGGTGCTCAGTGCCCCCAGCCAGACTCACATCTGTGTCCTTGACCTTGACACAGCGAGAGGTTGTGCTGTTTCTCACCCAACCTTTCCCTCGGATCTCAACTTTCATGAGGTTTCCTTTTTGTCCTTGAAACTGTTCATAAGCGTGCCTGATGCAGATGGCTGGTCACCGGGACCAGGTTATCTGCATGATGGTTTATTCCACCAAGACCTGGGGAAGGGGAAGAAGACAGAGGCCTCAAGTGTTTGCTTTTTTGTCTCTCCTTAAGAGGAGCCTGGCCATTCTGCTCAAGGGGTTGTGGTTCTTCTGACATATGTTCAAGGAACTGTCTGTTCTGGATACACCTTCTTTGAGGCCCCTCTAATATCCCAAAAGAGTGCTTCATGTCACTTCTTGGAACTGAAGGCCACGAGAGCACATGTGTTTTCCTATGCTGCGGCCATGTCAGTTGTCTACCTTAGAACTGAAAATAGTCCCTCAATTAAAAGGAGAACTCATTCAACGCATCTAATAGTCATGAACAGGACCATACTCTCCTCGAGAAATACGTTTGCTTTTAAAAATTTTTTTATTTTTACTTCTAAAAGAAGAATCTGTTGTTTGCATTCCCAAACAGCAAAAGAAGAGACATTTATCAAAGCCCAGGGTCATTTTGGAATCACAGCCCCTCTCGGGAGTACGTTGGGACAGGATAGTGAAGATGCCGTTTTTCCCAATCTGACATTTCTGTTTCCCCAGAGTGGAGTTGGTTAGGTTTTCCGAGAACTGTCTCGGAGACATAGCATGACCGCCCCAGGAGTTCCTCTGATCCTCGTGGAAGCACTGTCCCCAGCAATAGTGTCCGTAGGCAGGTAGACTCACAGGCAAACCCCTCCCCACCAGTCATAAGTTGTCTTCCTCCCAACAGATTCCTCTGTTACGCTGGTTCTACCCCAGGCTCCTCTCATGTGAGGTCCAGGTGCCTTCTCTTCCGAGTAAACCCCAGGGAGACACGAGAGCCAGAACCCAAAAAAGGAGTTTCTGTCCCTGGCCAGACACCAGACCAGTAGCTAGAATGAGCGTTCCCAATCTCTCTTCCTCGACCTCTGTAAGGAGCCAAATGTTAGGACAAAAGAAAACGATTAACATACCTTATGTTCTGTAAGATGTTGTCGTTACACCGTGGTAAGTAGCTCCAACATGTCATAACCATTGACTTCTCCCTAACTTTTTAGCCGCCCCCTAGCTTTGCAAAGGTTTAAATTAATACAGTGTCATCCTTTATCAATAATAGGCTTCTTTTAGGCCGAGTATGGTGGCTCACCTGTAATCCCAGCACTTTAGGAGGCTGAGGAGAATCACTTGAGCCCAAGAGTTCAAGACCAGCCTGGGCAACATAGCAAGACCTTATCTCCACACACAAGAAAATTTTTTTTTTTAATTTTTAAAATTAGCCAGGCATGGTGGCATGTGCCTGTAGCTATTCGGAAAGGTAAGGCAAGAAGATCTTCTGAGCCCAAGGAGTTCAAGACTGCAGTGAGCCGTGGTGGGTCATGCCCCTGCACTCCAGCCTGGGTGACAGATTGAGACCCTGACTCAAAAAAATATATAAAATAATAAGCTTTTTAAATTACTTTTTAAAAATACTAGAGCGCCGCATACCTAGCCCCAAACACAGCAAATCTAACAGATTTTCTCTGCACCTACAACCATATACAATTTGTCTATTCATATCTATAGGGGTTCGGGTTATTATTTTAATGGCAGTGTCCTGTATAGTTATGCAGTGGCTGACTTTTGTCACCTCGCTGCCTGCTGTGTACTAGTTCTAGGTAAAGCCATGGGGCTCACACATGCTTCTTTAATAGCCATGGTTCTCAGAGTTCAGTTCATTCAGCTGTCACCTGTCGACAGATATTCTAGTTCTTTCCAGTTTTTTTGTTTTGTTTTTTTCATTTTTATGAGCCTTGCTGCAAGAAACATTTTGGTGAACATATTGTTAGTGGTGGTGCTTTTATTTTGGGGGCTTAGCATCCCACAGGTGGGTTGGAGGCGGTGCCTATCATTCCGTGCTGCCTGGTTACCTTCCCATAGGCTGTAGCCATTCACATAAGCTTCAGCAATTCAGGAGTGTCCGTTTTTCCCTGTTCTTGGCAAAACTGGTTGTCATCAGTCTTTTTAATTTGTGCCAATTTGACGGGCACAGCAGTGGTGCCTGCTAGTGAGCTGGCATCTTGTTTTGTGTGTATTCGACGTTCATATTCCATCTCCTGTGAATTGCCACTTTACATTTTTGCCCGTTATTCTTTTGTGCTGTTTTACTTTAAATCAACGCAGAGGAAGCTTAGTCCCTGATATTAGGAATATTAACCTCTTCTCATATATGTTGCCTGGATTGTCTGTTTATGTATTCATAGTCTCTTTTTCCATAAAGGAAATTTAATTTTTACATAGTCAAGATATCTAGTTATTGGCCAGGCAGTGTGTCTCATGCCTATAATCCCAGCTCTTTGGGAGGCCTAGGAAAGAGGATTGCTTGAGCCCAGGAGTTCCACACCAGCCTAGGCGATATAGCAAGGCTTCATCTCTACAAAAAATTAGCCAAGCATGGTGGTGCCCACCTGTAGTGCCAGCTACTTGGGAGGCTGAGGCGGGAGGCTCTCCTGAGCTCAGGAGGTCAAAGCTATGGTGAGCCATGATCATGTGACTGCACTCCAACCTGGGCAACAGAGTGAGACCCTGACTCAAAAAAAAAAAAAAAGTTATCAGTCATTTTCTTTGTGACTTCTTGGTTTGCTGTAGTCCTTAAGAAGTCAGCTTGGACATTTTTCTCTTCCAATAACAAAAATGAACAAGTCGTATCGTAACTGAAAAAAAATCACAAAACAGTATGCACAACAAGATTCTAGTTTGTCTCCTATATATACATGCTGTATAAATAAAATCAGCATAGAGAATAAAATAAATTTGGAAGCAACATTAGGGAGAGGGAGTATAGGGAAGTTTTCATTTCTATGTGTGTCTGTAAGTTTGAGTTTTATATCTATATATCTCACACATACTTATTTTTAAAATGAAGATATAATTTCCATGCCATAAAATGCACCCTATTTAAAGTGAACAATTTAGTGGTTTTTAATATAGTCACAATGTCATACAACCGTCAC